CAGAGTGGGGTGTAAAGGGTCATGCTTTCTGAAAACAGGCCAAACAGCTTATGCTGTTCACAGCCTTGCAAGATGGCTGAAAGAGGAATCACAATGGCACAACAAGAAAACTCAGTGCAGCGCAACTCCCAGAAACTGTTCAATGAATCATCAGTTACGGGCTCCTCCTAAAGCTGCCTGTGCCCATAGCACTGAATGCACTATGCTTGATAGGGATCTTCAACTCCACTGGGAACTACCACTGCCACCATCCAAGCTGTTCTGCTAGATCTGCACCAAGAACCTGTGGACTCCATCCATGTTGCATTATACGCAAACTTGAGAAGCCACTCAAAATTTGTCTTACTAAATACCTGACCTCTTTTTACAAGGTAAACTAGTGGGATTTTCTCAGGAATCATGAGTTTGCTTAGCACTACAGACATCAGCACTACAGGCATGACTTAATGTTTCAGTGAAGAGGGCTATTAAAAATTAAGAGCATTTCTAATCCATTCTTTCCTGCAAACAGCCTCACACCATATAGCAGAGTTTCCAGAAATCACAGAATATATATAAAATCAACCTTTTAATCCCACATATGTTAGACAGGCTATTTATTCCACCTTTGTTTATACAACCTAAAGACAACAGACTGGTGTTTCTCATTATTCTGCAATCCAAGAATTTTTCCAGATTCGTGGACATGCATCTTTATCAGTCTACAACGTCTCATCTCTGGATTCACTGATTTATCTACTGTTTCAATTACGCAAGCATCTCATGACATGGAAGAAGAATTTGGACTGTGAATATGTAATTGTAACAGAATTAACTTATCAACTAGTTAATAATAAAAACCCCCTTGCAACCAAACCCGACTGCCTTTATTTTCTAATATGTATGTTACTAACAGAAGGTTGCCACAATACCTTTCATTCAGGCTCTTGTTGAAGGCAGAATGGCAAATAAGAAGTACTGCCCTGGAACTGAGCTTAGCTGCAAATTTTATACACCTGCTAACACCACTCTTAAGCACAAAATCTTTCAGAAAGTTTGTTTGGAAAACTCTATGTGCTGTAGGTGAATGAATGACATGGGCATGTCATACGTGTGTAGCTGAATGACCAATAAAATGTTCACCTCTCATTGTTGTATGTGATTCATTAAAAGGTCTTTCATGCCAAAGTGCAATACTACTGTACAAAGTCAGTGTGCAGCAGGCAGATCACAGAAGAGGATGTGCTGACTACAGCAGTAAATAAATTCCTACCTATATGAAAGAAAAATTTCCTAAGAGCAGTTCTCGAGAGTCTGATTTTTTGTATTTATAAATGGGCCATCTAATCTGTATGTAATAAGCTGAATACGACTGAAACATTGATTTGATGTATTCTGATGTGAAATACATCTCTATGTGAATCTGATCTATTTCTACTGAAATCAGTGCTGTAGTTATAGGTGGGTTGGGTGGAAAAGAGATGGATCTGATCCAGTTACTGTTCTGTCCATCTGTGCTGTTTCCCGGCTTCCCCCCCCCCCATTTGAAAAAGGACAAAGAGCTGACTTCAGCATTCTGCAGTTCTAGTGACTCTAGGACTTTTTTTGCTAGGACTAGATTCTAGAATCTAGTGATTCTGTAGTGTAAGGCCTGGTGCTTCACTTGTTTTTACAAATATTATTCCACCTCCCAGGCTTTTCCAATGTCTTAGATTTCTGCTTTGGTGTTTTGTAGTTTAAGAATTAAAATCCCAAAACAGTTAAAAGGGGGTAACCTCCAAATGCTCATGTCTAGTTTAGATACATCTTTTTTTTCCTATCCTACCCCCCAGTTTCTGCATCTTCTGAGCAATACACATACTTTCACCTCATCAGAATGGTTTTCAGAGTTATCAGAGAATAGAATCAGGAACAGTGACCCTGCGTGACGTTGTTGCAGTATGATTAATCTTGAGGCTCACAAGTCATCCAAGAGTATGGTACTTTCTAAGAATGGTTTACAAGCATCACCAAGATTTTCTTAAGATAGTGAGGCCAAAGAAGACTGGCAGTGTGTTTACTGACTACCTGTATCTTTTCAGCAGGCTTTCCAGCATATGGAAGTGGAGTCTTCTATGGAGTATGAAACAGGAAGAGAAGCTAAATATAGCTATTGCACTGTTGTAAAGCATGGCTTCCTGGTAATAGAAGCCAAATTACCTACATTTTCACTCAGTTTTCATAGCTTGATACTTCAGACCATTTCCTATTTCCATCCATCTTAAGTAAGTCACAGATTACATCAAAATACTGTTCCTTAAGAATTCATACCCATAAAAGGTTAGATAAAGTTAAATTGTGAGACTTGGCTCCACTTACCATTTTGGTGAATAAGTCTCATCAACCCAACATCTCCAAGCAGAGATAATTTGGAGATATCAGCAACATTGCTGGGCAGCCTCACTGGTTTTCAACCCTCTCTATGAGCATCTGGGGCTCATTTGAAAAATTCAGTATCATCACAAAAGAAAAAAAATAAAGTTTATTCTATTGCTTTTATATAATTTGACCTCAGTCACCTCAGTTCAGATTTACTTTTTTGTTTCTGGCAACATAGTATTTTCTTGTAGCCTTGTTCTGAGACACATACTCCAGAGAGACTCCTTAATAGAGAAGTTGGCATATATTGCACAGGCATCTCAATGACAATGTTATTTTTCCTTAGTAGTCTTTCTGTAATTGAAGCACCATTTTTACTCTCCAAGCCATTAAAAACTGTTTTAGTGACTGGTGTTGGGAGTTCCATAAATTCTCAATAATAAAAACTATTAGTATTTCCTACTTTCCTTGATCTATGTAAATACTTATTTCAATTAAAGTAATAGACACATCAGAAAGACCTGATTACCAGTTAACCCGTCAAAGCCTTTAGCATTTGCCCAGTTAATCTCTAGTATCTAGAGAAGAACACTTCGGAAAAAGTAAGATTTCTTTAGAGAAATTGCTCCACTTAAGCCCAAGTGAGTACATAGTAAATAAGTGAGCTGATTTTTTACCTGCAAAGGTTAAATCATGCTGTGATAATTTCCTTAGTCTGACAGCAGGCTCCCTGAAGCAAACATGAAGCTCAAAAATCATGTCTAAAGACTGACATGAAAATGGGTTTCATAGTTTCATCTTTTAATCAAAAAACCAAGACCATTATCCTTTCTGCCTGAAGTTAGACAGAATTTAGCTACTGAAAATAACAGGAGTGTACCCGGTGCCACATCTAGGTTAATGGTAATTAATTTTCTTTATGTTTGATGCATATTTTACATTAGAACCCCAAAATACACTATCTATCAGAGAGAGTACCTGTCTGTGTTCAATCCTATTGGCACCTTCAGGAAAAAAAGGTATTGGAGAGCCCTCTCACAAGCTGACAACCCTTCCAATTGCACCTCATGACTACAAGAATTGCATATATAATTAAATAGGATTTCTAGTATTATTACTGTTACTTTAAAAAGATACTCACCTAGAACCATTACATTTGACCCTTTGGTCTGAAAAAACTGCTTTATATCCTTCTATTTCTGCAAAGAAGCCTAAAGCTGCTCTGGCTCTTGAGCATTGGCGGTGGCTCAAGGTATCCCTGTCCCTGCTATCCTGGCTTCCCTGTATCTGCACAATTGCTGGTATAGCTTGTGATGAAGCAGATTAAAGCATTAGTCTAGATGAATAGTGACTTGGATTTCTTTCAGTGTCATTTCTGTAAGGATGGTGGCTGAGAAAACCAGCTTATTCAGCATTGCCGCCTAACCTGAAGCCATAGCTCTAGGCAGTTCAATACAGCTTTGGACAGTTCAGTATCATGAACTTCAAGGGATTTTGTAGTTGTACAAAGTAAAATTTTAGATATTTCTCGGCTGCCTGTCTTTGAAGATTCAACAGAGATCCACAATATGGATATAAAGGCTCAAACATCTTTAAAAGCTTATTTCAAATTTCAATGAAAATTTCCTGAGCTTTATCCTTTGAGCAAAGTGGAAACTTTGTCCATCTCAAAATGCATGGAATTCTTATGCCCATAGAGGGATGGCAGTGGAATTGCATCTATCACTATTTGCTAGGAATGAAGATTGCTAGACAATACACCAAGTATAAATATAATAGAGAAGGTATCCAGTTCCTGTTAAATATCTGCAGTCTGGCTTAAAAGAGGTGCTTGCTTGAATAAAATGTTGTATGCTAAGCCATTGAGGCTCTGCTTGAGCTTCTGAGCTTGTCTGCCACATGCAGCATAATTTTAAGCGGAAATTTTGCCTGAGTGCAAATGAAATGCTGGGCTTTGAGGGAACGCATTATCCTTAGAGAACACAAAGTGACACAATATAAAGAGCAAGTCCACTGAAACTTCTTTTGATCATTAGCCTTCCAGAGATACCAGCTGCAAAGCACTGCCTCCATAAAAATTCATTACCTATTACAAATCTATTAATTGTTTGAGTGCTTCAGAATAACAAATTAGTAGCTCGACTTTCCCAAAGAAAATTCACTAGAACTTTCTCATTGCACACAGCTGTTCTTAATACTGGGTGATTTATGTGTTTCATGTTAGTCTTTACTAAGAAGTATTTTGTAGCATGAAGAAGTACTGTGTGTTGTAAAAACTATGATCCAGAACTAAGAAGGATATCTGCCCATGACCTGAGCTCAGATAATGAAGTGTCTCATCCATGTTAGTAAAAGATTAACAGAGGTTATTGGTTGTCATAGTAAAATGAGAGGCTGCATTGAACGTAATTTCATTTATGGACGTTCAGAAAATTGACATCACGGCTGCAAGAATGTATAAATAACCAGCACGCTGCGATTCTGGTCAACTGCAGCAACATCTCTGAAGGGAGCATCCTACAGGCTCAGTTCCTCTAAAGACACGTCGGAAACCGGATTTTGTAAAGTACACTGAGGAGCTCCTTTTTATACAGCAGTTCTGAGAACACCTGAGAGATTTTTCCTCTGCCTTCAACTGCGTTTACCATTTATTTAAAAAAGCAATGTGCACAGGAAGTTGTGCTAAGTGCCTGGGAACCACTCTAATCCCCCTGGCTGTGCTATGTACCCTCGCTAACATTTTATTGTTTTTCCCTGGAGGAAAAATTGTTGACGACAATATGCACATAACAAATGAGGTCTGGTACTTCGGAGGGATCTTGGGATCTGGTGTATTGGTGAGTATATAAATTCAGATATTCCCACCTTTCCCCCCACCCACACCATGACTTTGCATTGCTGAATTTCCTCAGTACCTCAAATGCAGGTTCCACAACTGCAAAATTTTCAGTGATAAACAAGTGATCCAACAGTTTTGCATTAAGTAGCTTAATTTAGTGATAAGAAAAAAAAATAGTACATAGAACTGTTACATTTAAAAGCAAATGTAACTTGAATTCATCCTAATTCAAACTGTATTTTTGTTATTGATAGATGATCTTTCCTGCCTTGGTATTTTTGGGCCTTAAGAATAATGATTGCTGTGGATGCTGTGGTAATGAGGGCTGTGGAAAGAGGTTTGCGGTAAGTGAGAAGAAACACTGCAAAGAAGTACAAGCTAAATTATTACCGATATATGTATCTTCTGCTCACAGTCATTGAGAGACCGTACAGATACAGACCAGAGTGTAGGACACAAAGTCCTGCCGTTTGTCTGAGCCCTGGAAAGTAGAAATAGCAGGCTGTAAAAAATGCATTATGCCTTTGATTCTGTGCCACAGGTACAACAACTTGGTGTATTTTGCTATCATAAGATACTTACAGTTGCTATCACAATTAAACCTAATTTCCGAAAGATCTGCACTTTGTTTTGCAGGGCATGACAGTTCTCTTTTTAGACATTTTTTTGTTGTCAGTTTTAAAAATTATTCTGACAGTTGGGCACTACACATTCCCAACTCATTGAGCCCAGACACTGGGCTGCAAGTACCTCATTAGGTTCATAGGAAATTTCAGGTTGGAAGAGACCGCTGAGAGGCCACCTAAACCTTCTACTTAAAGCTGGGTATACCAGGCTCCACTTTGAATTTGTAGCTTCCTTTCACATGAGAAGTGAAAAGTTTTAAATGGATACCTTCAGATACTAATAAACATTTCAAGCATTTTGGTTTAAAAATGAGATTAAAGAAAAAATACATATATTTCTATTAGGAAAGTCTGTCTTTTCAAAATAGTTTGGCTCAAGTAGATCATTACACTTTTTCACCAAGAAGCAAGTTTTCAACTGGGGGGGGGGAAAGAAAAAAAGGAAAAAGCACATAGGAAAAGAATCACGACTATGAGGTTAACAAGGAGCCTTCCCTAAATACTGTCTTTGATGCTGTCTGTATTCATGCAATTCCAACAAACCAGGTGGACCTTTGGGGTGGGGGGGGGGGGGGGAATAGAGCCACATATTTCTCCTCACCACACTGTATTATCAATGTTCTGTTAGCAGTGAACATATCTTAGTTTAGCTTTGAAGACCACATATAACTCGGGGACTACCAAAATTACTAATGTTTTGCTGCTGGGGGGCCACTCACATCTCTGCGACGCAGATGAACCAGGCTCACAGTTATACAGGGGGTGACCAGTGGTGAGTGCCTGCGCTCCCACTGCCATGTGTAAGCAGAGCCATGCGCACGGTGCTGCCCATACAGCAACCCACGTCCTGCAGTGCAGAACCTTGTGAGGACTCGTGAGAGTTCAGTTGACTGAGAAACTGGGTGTATTAATGCAGTCACAAGTACTAAGTATGCTGTACTGAAAGAGTCCCAGTGGCCTTACCACAGTATGACTGAGAACTGAATTTGGTCTGGTATGTTAGCAGAAACACTGTTACTATGACGTCTACTAAATAAACATAATGTTTAAGTTAGCCCCATTAGCTATACCAACATAAAAATGCATGTCAACAGTCAAGGCAAGAGTCTCATGATGAGGTCTGAACAAAAGCTGACAGTCATCTTTTTTTCCTCTACCTCTATCTCTTTGATCCAATAAAAAGCACTACCTCTACCTACAAACTATTATGGCTACAAGTGCTTCAGAATTCAAGCAGGACATTACTTTTTGCATTATTACATATCAGTATGTTTATTTACATATCAGTACATATCATATTACGTATCTGATATCAGTATATCAGATTATTTTCATATCAGGATATAAAATTGCCATAATGGAAAGCCAGAAAGATAAAGATGTCCTTTCCAATCCATTCCAATTGCACTATTACAACTAATGCTGACAAGTACCTGCAAGGAGATAAAGTATACCAATATGAAACCTGAAGGGGAGACTCAGGAAGGAAAAATAGAATTACTTGCTACAAATGCGACCAAGATACCAAAGCTAACTTGTAAAGCATACTGTAGATTATTTTCTTTAATGGCTTGAGTGGTCCAAGACCTCAGTCTTGCTTGTATGTCTTGAGAAAGACTTCCCCTTCAGTGAAACGCAAGACCTTGAACAAGACAAAGACTGTTGGACAAACACTATCTGAAGGGGAGGAGTGCCATCTACTGTGGCAGCATCCACCCCTCCTGCCTTCAGACAAATGGTGCCAAGTGTTTTAAAGCTTTTAAATACCAGTGCAGGTATGTGTTACACATCTGTTACATAATCGTGATCTAATATATTTCAGCTGTTCAGAGCATAGGCCCATTAAGAGCTGAATTCAGGGAATATACATTCACATTAGTAGGGTACATTTCATTGTTTGAATGAGTACAAAAATAACATGATTTTTCTTTTTATCAGATGTTTTCTTCCATAATATTTGCTGCAGTTGGAGTTGCAGGAGCTGGATACTGCTTTGTTTTGTCAGCAGTAGCCCTAAACAGAGGCCCTAAATGCAACACTGGGATAGAGTGGACCTATCCTTTCAAGGAGGGGTAAGACAAGACAATCAGAAAAAAAGAAGTTACACATTTTAAGTTTGTGGTATGATTTAACTTTCAAATATGTTGTATGAAAATGGGAATTATACCATTTGTCTACAAGATAGAAGCTCCTGGAAGACCCAGCAACACACAGCAATACTAAGTAAGGTTCAAGAGCAGATATGAAGAATAGCAAGTACCATTAAAACTAGTGAGTTTCAAAGGAGTCCATAAAGAGAAATACACAGCTTTCTAGGTTACTCCTGGGATGATAAGCAGTATATGGGGATAAATTCCACCTAGATGATCAGCAGTGACATCTTATATTGAAATTTGATGGCATGCAAATAATTAGTATCAATATTTTATCTTGGTTATGGAATTTGGAAGTTGTCTGTTCCTCACGCTCTGCAGCTCAAACACATTTGTTGTCACGTATATTTATCTCTTTCAGAGAGGTTGTGTAAAGAACATGAGCAACCCCAAAAACTCCAGTTGCTGAGGGCTGAAGCCAGCAAAGGTCCAACTGAAAACAGGGTACAATGCGTTACCAAGGAGAGCAGGCCTGAGCAGAACAGACCAAAGGGAGCAGTAAACTCCTCACCGCCTCAGAATCTTTAATGCAGTCTTCCCCAGTCAATTGCTTTAACTGACCTACAAACTAAACCAAAATTATCTTCTAGATGCGTAGCACCAGTGCAATAATGGAAATTATTTCTTGCAGTAATTAAAACTAACAGAGGCTCAGCTGTATCACAACAGCGACAGCTTGTGACAGACCCGCTCTCTGTGAGCTAACACCATATTCTCCATAACTGTTTTCCCCCCTCACAGGGATTACCTTGCTAACCACACGCTGTGGGACATGTGTGAGTCACCTGAAAACATTGTCCCATGGAACCTTACCCTTTTCTCCTTGCTGCTCATCATGAGTGGGATCCAGGCAGTGCTCTGTGGTATTCAAGTGGTGAACGGCCTATTTGGAACAATCTGTGGGGACTGCAAATGTTGTGGATGTTGTGGGGTGAGCAACTGATTGTTTTCTTTTGCTGTTTTTTGTACCGATAATAGTTATATGCACACTTGACTAGCTGACAGCCTGAAAAACTAAACTAGCCTTCATTCAGTGCCATGATCATGTTTTCTTAAATACAGCTGAAGCCCTGTAATGTCCCCAGGTGCTGAAAATATGATCTCAGTCCATATTTATGGTGTTTATTCCATAGCCACTGGGAAATCATAAAAACATTTGAAAGTCACAAGAATGGTAGCCACTAAATTATCTCCATGCTTTTATTATTCCAGGGAAATGGAACTGTCTAGAGAATATGAATATTGCACACAACGTTCTTTATCTTGGGAGGCTCCTTTTTGCAACCGTTGCGTAAAGCGGCCTTCAAATGCATCATCTCCAGCTAAGAAGATGAGAATGAAGGGCACTTCCTCTTATGAAGCCCTGACTCCCTTTCTAGCCTTCCTGAAAGCTCTCATCATGGAATAAAATATGTGAAATTAAACTCTAACATTAATATTTATTTTTGTAAAACAGTTTCTATCTAAACCAGGATATTCTCAGGCAAAATATTTTCCCTCCTGAGTCAGCTTCCCAACTGGGGATCACCAAATGGTGCTGGTACAAGCTCAGCTGTAATGCAGTTGTGTCTATTTTCTCTTGAGGTTCATCAGGTGCAAATACCACAAGTTTTTTTTTTGAGTATGTTTATGTTACATGGAAAAGTGAGGACTTCTCTTTTCCAAACCCATTATGATTAAAATGCTCTCTATAACAAGAGACGTATATATCTATTTACATGCTGACATATATACTAGACCTGTAATCCTTGTCTTGAATCTCTCACAGAAACTACACAGCCTGTGCAATTTAATGATGCAGAAATATTCACTGTAAGTAAACTAATGTGTTTCTACTTGTGAAGTTAAAAAGCTTTTAGCCCCCTGTTCATGGCACTAACCCACTGTGATCTCTTGTCTAACAAAGGTGATGCAGTGACTTAAGAGTCACAGCTAAACAGATCTGGGAGGCATCTTTGGAGCCTACCTTTGCACACAAAGTCAGCACAAACAACACTTAAATACTTTATAAGATGTCTGTGTCACCTGTTCTTAAAAATCTCCAAGTTCAGATGATTGTGTGGCCTGTGCTTTCAGAAAATGTATTTCATGTACTATGCAGCTATATTAGAGATATCTCAAGAACTTAGAAAGTATTCAGAAGCACTAAAAGCTGGTGAGCAATATGCAAAAATGTGAAATACCTAGATTTAGGTACATTAATATAAGCAAAGCAGCCTCAGTGATACATTGTGCAAGATAATAAAAGCAATGATAAAAAAACCTTTTCAGAAACAGCTGTCCCTCCCACCTGTTCTACTGCATTGCTGGGGAATCCAAGAGCACCCTTTACATCACCACCCACTGATGCAACTATCTTATATCTGTTCTTTCATCTGTGGCTAGCAGCTGTCCCACACCTCATCTCACATTTGCCTCATTTTATTTATATGAAGCCTTTGCAAACATGGAATATTTCTCAGCACCATTCAACAAAGGGGCAGGGGGCTGCATAGTGTACAATTTTGATATATTAATAAATGGAATACATAAATCTTTGCGTGAGGCTTGGGATAACAAATAACAGAAAGGAAGCTATGAAACCTAAAACCAAAACCAACGGGTGGTTCAAGAGTCAATGCTTAAAAGATGCCGGAGTACACTGTGGTTTTCTAACATGAGCTCATATCTAGTAGATACTGAGACAAAACACACACATTTCATCTCATAACCCAGACTGCATTTGCACCTTGGCCTTGGGATATATTGAACAAGCATAAATGAACTGCAATCAGCAGCTTAGCTGACCTAGCATTTTTAAGAGCCAACAGGACTGTTCTTAAGTCTATTCAGTTGTGATTAACATCTGAGGCTCTCCCCTAGCATTTAACTTCATGGGAATTATACTTATCTCATTGTCAGTTCTGCAGTAATTGGAGATTGCTCTCTCTTTTACTGAGCAAGGTACCCATTAAAATCAAGGGGTGGGACTGATCACAGATTGTTGTGACAGAGAAAGACATAACAGGCCAGTGGTACTCCTGGTAGAGAAGTTACAGGTAAAGAGAGTACAGTGTTAGACACAAAGATGGTGGCAAGGGAGAAACTACGAACAGGGAGAACTGAAAGTGTTAAACCTGACCTCAGTAGTCCTGACCAACTTGAACACCATACTCAGTTTTAGTGCATACAAATATCAACACTTCACAAATGTAGAAATCCTAGCAGCCTAAAGGAAAAATATTAGTATTGTCTGTAAAATCTCAGAGATGCATATGTTATCTGGACCTTCATTATTCACCCGCAAAAACTGGCTGCTCAGAGCTGGTTGACCGGGTGCTGAGAGCAATTTTGACATTGAGGGGCATTGTTTCAGCTGACAGTTTACATAATTATTTAACACACAAGTTATTTAACAACTCAGATTACAACACATTGAGTGTGTGCACGTGATTTTGAGCCCATGCATTTCAACTTCTGCCTGGCAAAACTGGTGCTCCTGCACAGCTAGATTGTATACAGTTGGAGATCTCTATATTGGTTGTCTTCACTAGACTGCAACAGGATGATACGTTAACCACAGTACAGCCTCACCTGTCTGGAATGATGCATTATCTAACTGGCAACTTTTTTCAAAAGGTCCATTTCCAAAATTAGGAAGTTAACATGCACGAAGTTAAAAGGCAATTGTTTAGCCAAGAGCAAAGAATGTTTTCTAACATCATTCTAGTCTTGAACGTTCTTCAATTAGCCCCAGTTCAACTTTAGCTCACCCTTCATGTCTTCATTACTCATGGTGTAACCAGTCACAAGCCAAACAACAGCAAACTCTGCAACAACCCCTGCTGCCCAAGGATGTGGAGACTGACTTGTTCTACCACATTGATAGGAGCAGGGTCTTTGTCCCAAAGGTGAACACTGCTATCAGTGACGGACAAGAATAAAAACCCAGATAAAACACCTCTAAGTTTTTCCTTGCCAAATTACTCTTTCATGGGGACAGAACGCACTGTTTAACTGAAATCACAAAAGCTCTGCCAATACAACAGAACTTTTTATAGGCATCTTCACCTGAGAAGCATAACCATTATCCTCCACCTGCCACTGCTTATTTGCTGCAGGACCCTTTGCTGAAACACAAATTGCTCCCACCTGTGGATCTAAACAACCCAAACCGAAAAATATCTGTCGTTGTCACTACTAACTGTGCTAGTTAAGTTCACGGCAATACTTGGACACTGGTATGCGCAGAAAGGGGCGCTAGTGGAGGATCTCCACCGCCTTTGCATGCGCACCTCTCACGTGCCGGGGGATCTCCCAGCTGCGGAGGGTGCAGCAGTGCCCGGCCTCGGTCTGCCTCGCTCACTCCCGCGGCCCGCTGCGCCTCCTGTAGCTCACCCAGCGCCCGTCCGAGCAATAGCGGGGTCGAGAGGCGCCACAGAGCCGACCTCGCGGAAGCAAGAACTGAGTCCCGGCCCAACCCC